TTCTATGTTAGGCAACACCACACGAACTGCGCGATAGTTTGACTGGTCTTTCCGTTCTGCTGCCATGCCAGGAACCTGTTTAGTATTTATAGTACTTGCATTTCCTATCTTGCTGAAACATACTGCGACTTGGAATGTGACTGACTGAACGATTACAGCCACTGCTACCAAGAAAGAAAACCGGATATATTGACACTAAACACGAGTAACAAAAGTACCATGATACATAATGTACATTCAATGCATTCCAGAAATTGACAGAAAGTCCTACTTTTCATATACGAGTTCTGAAAATTCCAAAACAAAAATAGGGATCACATTCGCTGCAAATATTTTCATGGACAGGTAAAGTTGTGGGCTGTGTGCATGTCACGGGTTATTTTTAGAGACTTCAATAGATTACTCGTATTATTGTCCATTCATTACGGTCATTCATTATTGTTCATGTTTCTGATGGGAGCGGACTGTAATAAGTTACATAACTTGAGCCCAATCCCTTTCAACATTGAATAAAATATGTTCAACAACAACTTCAATAGATATGCTTTTTCAGAGATACGCGTTTTTATATTAAGGCGGCAGCGAGGAACAAATAACCATCTCTTCGGCTAGAATAGTGCTAAATGTGGCGTAAACCAACATCATGTTCCATTGTGTGCTCTTTAAGGACACATTGACAAAATTCCAGTTCGATTCTGGACCCAGTCAACCCAGTGACAGACACCATGAGCATAAAATACTGTGATCCGTGACATGTATCATCCAAATCAACAAATCCCGTTAGACGCTTTTTACGACAAGCAAGACCTGCTGCTCACAAAGCAGACAGTGAAGTTCCAATCCGAAATCCTCACGGGACTCATTTGTATATACATGTATGTGGTTGATGACTTATGTGACTGGCATTACTTCCACTGCGGGTCACCAAATGGTATTATTTATCTCTCATGTTCCAATCTACGAGGTATACAGCACAACCTGTCAGGCTGACGAGCTAATAATAGACAACCGTACAGTAAATGGGATTGGCATTTTTGAGTAAATAGTATGAGAATAAATTAAACTTACTAGTGTCACATCCGTATACTAATTACGTTTAAATATTTCAACTTCTACTTTTGAAAACGCATTTGAACATGCCCCTAAGTACTTTGAGAAGAATTATCCAATAATGTGTACAATTCAGCGTGTTATGATAGTGAAAATAGCCTGACCTAGAAAACTAACATAATCTAAAGAAACTGTGGTCAGTATAGTGTTTATAGTAGAAGTCGTGACGAGAATAAAAATGGAGTTATGAAAGTCTTAGAAAATCCTACCTTAATTCCGTCGAAGCGATTGCAAATCCCACAATGGAATATCACTTTAGTGTATATTTTACGTGCGCTTCAGGGTGTACCTTCTTCACAAAATAAAGGTAAACTAACGTCGAAAATTTCCTAGGTAAAGTTTGATGCTGTTCTAGATAAGACAAATGTCTTATCAAATCTTGCCAATATTCACTTCATGTACTATAGATATTTTATAGCATGCACCTACTCAACGATTACATTTAATTAAGCAATTATCTTGGTAAAAATGTACGAGGGGCGTTCACAAAGTAGTCAGCCTCACCTAGAAAATGATACAAATATGCAGCTGCTTTAATGTTTTATTTTCGACATATTATCTGTCAACCTCAAGCAAACTGGTTTTGCTATGTTTCAGCCTCACGATCCCTATTTTGTTCGACTTTTTAAGCTTGGTACTACTAAAACGCAAAAATCTGCAATAAATGCATCACAAACTTCAGGAAACAAAATATGCAAGAAACATGTTGTGTAAAACAACAACAACACACACACACACACACACACACACGACACACACACACACACACACACACACACACACACACCTTACATTTACGATGATGAACCCAATCTTGTAACTGTATACAACGCTAACAACGCTTCAAATCATTTCATGGTTACCTGATGCCTTAACAGGGAAGTCCTCTTGCTGTGCCGAAGACACGATTTCAATTGCTGTATAAATTTCTTTGATTTTTTTTAGTTTTGGATAATGTAAAAAATAAGTTGTTTGATCATTCAGCCTAATTATACTTGATTGTGGAGCAAATGAAATTACACATCCCAGTTGACTTTACGACATGTTCTACGTTTAACTGTAAATACCTCAAATTGATATCATATCCAAACATGAACTGTGGTCACTCTTAAGCTTCTTTTACATGAAAACATTTACTCCTTTAAGTATATTTATGGAGTAAATGTATTCACAGGAGTAAAAGTATATTTACTTTCTGTTCACGTGAATATTTAACCAATAGGAGTATATCTGATTTGCATGGCCCCCAGGCAGCTGGTTTTGAAGAATGTTGGTCATTTAATCTTCAGACAAAAAAATGAGTATGCTGTTGATTTAAAACGCAGACGAGATCAGCAGTATTTCTTTACTACAGAGACTTACAAAGGACAAGAATGGTTGGGTAAAGACCCGTTCAAGAACCTGGTGGATAGACATTGTGCAAGGCACCGTTGATGATGACCAGTGGGTAGAGAATTTTCGAATGACTAAAGAACGTCTGCTGAACTGGAACCCTCATTGGTAATAAGGACTTGTAGCAATGACCTGAGCCAATTCGATATCGAAACGTGTAAAACTCTTGTCCCAACGATGTGAAGTAGCTGACGATGCGAAAATTAGAAAATGCCCTATTTCTCACGATGTATCGCATGCTACAAGTCTTTCAATACAGTTAGTACCGTGAAAAGGCACCGTTATCGTTGCATCTTTACAGTGGTACTTGTTATTTTATGGCTGTCATTATCCCTGTAACATCTTCAATGTAATAATGGTGTAGTGGATAAGGCGTCTGTCTTGCACACCAAAGACCCGGGTTTGATACCCGGTGAGTCATCCGGGCTGGAACATTTGCGTGGTATCTATGAACAAGTTATTTTAGTCCACAATGTCTCAGTCCACCCATCTGTAAAATGGATCCCCACGAGGAAGTGCTGACAATGTCACCCCTCAGCTCTGTAAGCACCAAACAGGCAGCGAGGATGTATGATGCTCAGGGAGTTGAAAACGTATCGGAAGGTACATTAATGTCCAATGACAGGGATAGTAATGTACGTAGCGCATTGAGCATGCATAAAGCGCGGATATGAGCGACATATAAGAGACTATTACTTACTGAGATGCGACAGCTCGAATTGTTTTCCAACAAGCAGACTGTACAATTCACAGGGCTGTTACAAACTACATGTAGAAGAAATTGCTAACTCTTATTTTCTTCAGAGCAATTTGTATTACATAATAATTCACACAGAATTTGAACAATTGATCTAAAATGTAAAAACTTTAAATGAACTTCTGAAACAGGAGACTGCTGTCAAACTGACTTCAATGAAGCAACATCCATATCTTGTTACATGGTCGTACAAAAAGAAATTGAATAGAAGCTTCAAAGACAGATTATAAAAACATATCAAATCCAATGAATCTTATGATATTTTTTTATGAAACATTGATAAAACATAATAATGATGAAATAATAGTCCAGGAGTATAAATACTTACGTGAGTAAATTCGTTTTGTGACGATAGTGAATTTACCTACATAAGCAAATATACTCCTGTAAGTAAATGTGTGCATGTAAACGCACCTCTAGATCCGGGTTAGAATTGATCTCCAGCAACCCATGCTTATCGAAAGAGGCGACTTTGGTGGTTGACACAAGTCATCGTATAACAGTTGCGTAGATCGATGCTCATGCTGGTGATCACTAGATTGTCTGATCCAGACTCGATAATTTACAGACTTCCGACATATATAGCTGGAATATTGCGGAGTGTGGCGTTAGGGACCGTTCATAATATATGGCCGGGGGTGGGGGTAGGGGGGTGATGATGATTATTATGGAGAAGCATGTACAATGTGAATGACCCCCCCCCCCTAAAATGTATGTACAAAGTAAGTGAACCCCGCTGCATGTCATGTACAAAATCAATGACCCTCCCCTTCCTATATTTTTAAGCATAATTTTTAATATTTTATGTACAAAATTGCTTACCCCCTAGAAACGTACAAAATTGATGACCCCCTACCTCCCAGAACAAAATGGGTGAACCCCCTTAAAATCACCATATCCCCCACACACACACACACACACACACACACACACAAAGCCATAAATTATGAACGGTCCCTTAAGCAGCAACAAAACCAAATCAAATCTAAGTCAACACCCAGAGAATAACCTAATGTAATTTCGTATTTATTTAACAACAGTTGTATGGTTATTAATGTTATAAAAGACAAACTCGGTATTCTTTCCTTCTTCCCTTGGTATAGGTATTTATTCTTTGGTAACAAGTAAAAAAATATTCAGAGGAACAGACTTTGATCCCAGATCCAGATTTTTCAAAAGCCGATGACGCTTTAAGTGCAAATAACACCTTGCTCACCTTTTGTTTTCTATGTGTCATAACTTGTAATAAATAAAAATGCTGCCTTGGTATTCCTTGGTATTTTTAAACCTTCTTTCACCTCAGTGTTTTCTCAGCTAATCTGTTAAAAGTAGTGGTGGGAAGGATTTTACAGAAGAAAACTTCTGAAATATGAGGAACATGACATTTCAGAGTATATTCTTATTTTTGCCGATATATTGTTTTATAGAAGACAGCTTCTGAAAAATGAGATAATTATTGATGTTCGCAGGAAGAGGCTGGCAATCATCTTCGTGGAAAAAAACCGGTAAATGAAAACTTATTGTGTAACCAGACGGTAATTGTTTCAATTCTTTAAAATATGTATGCATGCATTCATATTAAATGGGTGGTTGAGCTTCGTGGCAAAAACAGCTTGAATCGAACACTCTATTTTGCAAAATGTTACTAAAACACCTAGTAGTTAATGGATTAGAGTTACTCCCCTTTGATCTGTCAAACCGGCTAGATGTCGCTTTCGCATGTCAATTTCACGTTCAGCCGCATGAGGTCAAAACAGAATCTACTTCCTGCTTCGAACGCCGTATCGAGTTTCTGTCAGTATGTAACCATACCAGTGGACATCTTCCCGATTGAATCGGACCTAAATTGAGAGGTGAGATTATTGATTTTATACATATCCTCGGTTGAGAAGGGGTCAGGAAAGATTCCACCACTGACGTACCTTTCATAAACAAACGCAGAAAATAAACAAAGACTGGTAAAACTTTTTCCGAAGTTTAAACATCCTTGTGCTAACTCTAACATGATGAGATGTCCCTATTCGACCTGACTCGAAGGCGTTGTGTTTGACTTCCTTGTTGTGTTGTCTCACACAGATATTAACAAACATGGACAAATATTAGGATAAACAAATTGCTCCTCAAAACCCATAGCAGTCACAACGCGTTTGATCAGAGAATCAATATTCTCATTTGATTTTGAGCCTGTCGGCAGATTCCTGTCTGACTCGAAGAGACTTTTCAGGACGGTGTGTGATGTAGTTATGGAGGTGTAGGAAGGTCACTGGGAGGTAGAAAATGAAATACCCTAACACAATAATGGATCTATGGTTAAAAAGGATTGTATTTGTCATGAGGATGTTGGTGGATGTATCTATATGGTGATTATTTCCAGTGGTGTTTGTTTACCATGCTTGATAGATTCTACATGGTATGTATCGTGATGTATTATATGATTATCGCTGTTCAGGTGACATGTATATCATTATTATTTTATTATAATTTGAAGTAGTCCAGCATCACTTGATGACTTAGCACTATACCCTGGAATACAAGTTTATTTATATGAACTAAATTTGAAGCAAAATCATAATCTTAAAGTAACAGTTACATCAGACATTTTATCATTTGTTAGCTCTTCCAAATGACACTAGTTCATCCTAATAGTCCTAATGAAAATTAGGATGAAATATTAGATTTGTTTGGTTAAATGATAGTTTTAATCATTGGAATCTAAGACGATGTGTCACTGGGAACCTGAGTGTAATTCACTTGAATCAATTTGTTAGGAAGGTCTACTAAAGGCTGCATGACACTAGTAAAGGTGATCTTAATCAATTAAGTAATGTTCAGTTATACCCTCAAGTGTCCCTTGTCCCTGTGTTTGATGAAAGGCTTGGACACACCTGTGAGTAATGATAGGTGTGAATGTCTGTTGCTATAATTACACACAGGTAATACTAGCATACATTAAAAGAGCATGCTTCACTGACCATGCATTTGCATTTTGCAGCTTAGTGAGGAATACTAAATAATGTCAGGATGGCCATATCAGGAATTGTTTTGATCAGTTCAGATTCAGAGGCAAATGTTTGGCCCCTACAGCAAATGTCAGTCAAAAATCCCAAATTAGAATTCTATATTTACCAGATCATGTTACCATAGTAATATCTGATGTTATGGCTTTGTACAGGTAACCTGGAAATTACTAAAGTGGCTTTATAGTTTAGGTTTACATTATTTCACTGGATGCAATGTTAATGGACCTAATGATTTATGAAAATAAGAAATAGTTTGAAGAAAATAATAATTTTTTTCCCAGTTTGCCTTTTTTCTTCAGAATCCCTTATAATCTGTACACATGTATTGACAGTCGATTCTTTATGTTGTTATACATAACAGTTAGTATATTTAAAGTGTTATGCATAACAGTATATTTAAGTTGTTATACATAATAGTATTTTTAAATTATCATACATAACAGTTAATATATTTTAGTTGTTATACGTACCAATATGTTTAAGTTGTTATACATAACAGTATATTAAGTGATCATACATAACAGTTGGTATATTTTTAGTTTTTTTATACGTAACAGTATATTGAAGTTGCTTATACATAACAGTTAGTATATTTTAGTTATACATAACAGTTGGTATATTTTAATTGTTATACATAACAGTATATTTATGAGTTGTTATACATAACAGTTAGTATATTTAAGTGATCAAACATAACAGTTGGTATATTGTAGTTATTATACATAACAGTATATTGAAGTTGTTATACATAACAGTTAGTATATTTATGTAAATAGATAACAATATTGTAACTGTGTGCCCACTGATCTCTAATCTATATTTTGGGTTGTATGCAGACCTTTCATCCGAAGTCACAAATTATTTAGTTGTTCGAAGTATATGTTTGAAGAAACTGATAAGGTTGTTTGCTTTGTTGATGAAAGTGCATGTGTTTCAATGTAATATTTTCAAGGATTGTCTTTCCTTTCTTCGTTTTCCATGTTTCTCCATATTAGCGCTGAGTGTTTTATTGATTACTGTCCTCGGAATGTTTATGTTGACACTTGAACATGGATGTCTAGAAGAGTTCATGAACATGATAAAGCCTGTTACACTTCCACACCTGGACGTGAACACTTGTGGGGACACACCTATCACAAACACCCACTCAACTTCCCTGTTTGCTGTGGTTGTGTCAGACTTCTTCTGTAGTGTAGCTTCTCGCTCTGCAGGTTTTGTTTTATCATTGTACAAGTGTTGGGGAATGGGTGTCAATATGGATATTGGGTGTCCACAATGGTTGCCAAGATGCAGAAAGGATTGCTGACAAGATGTAAAAAGGATGTGATTATGATGGGGTGTCCAGCTGGGCTGTCAAGATGTAGTGTTGGGTGGTTGTAGAGATGTTGATATGGTATTGTTGTCAAGATGGGCATAAATGACCATATATAGTAGTATTGATAATCATGATACTTTATCTGATGATGAATATGTCCACTTTTTCATATCATGATATGTATCATTGACCTTAAAATTGTTAATTTTCACTAGAAATTGACAGTTAGGTCAAAATTTACACTCAAAATATACTTTTTAAAATAAAATATCAAAAGATTGCATATCTTGAAAGATTGCATGTTCCAGGATATATTGCGATATGTATTGTATCGTGAAATTTCTGTATCATCACACTTCTAATAATGAGTCCATGATGGCTGTCAAGATGAGGATTGGCTGTCCACAATGGCTTGTCAACACACACCACGGTCTGCTGCGATGCATGGGTTTGCTGAGATACAGTCAATTTGACTTTTTCAGGAACATTTCCCTGTTTTCATGATATGCTGATCATCTTCATATGTTTCTGTTTCACTCAGCAATATTCCAGCGATTATGGCTGTCTGTAAATAATCAAGTCGGGGTGGACGATCCAGTGATCAACAGCATGAGCATCAATTTACGCAATTGGGATACAATCACATGGTTTAATCAAGTCAGTGAGTCTGACCACCCAATCCCATTAGTTGCCTCTCATCACAAGCATGGGTTGCTGAAGACCCAATTCTAATCCACATCTTAACAGGTTGTTGAAGTTGTGAGACCTGGATGCTGCTATATCAGCACATCTTAACAGGTTGTTGATGATGTGGTACCGTTGTTACAAGTGAGACTAAATTCATCCATAAAACTTGGATGCTGCTAAAATGCCACTCAAACAATGGATTGTCTTGTATGGCAGAGTCTTTAACAGGCAACTTGAGCAATAACAGCAATGATATCATTACAGTAATTTGTAATTACTGTTTACTGTTACTTAGGTCACTTATTAACACTGTTAATGGTGTCTTTTCATATCAAGTCCTCTGTGCGTGCTTTCCTGAAGCACAGATTCTGAAATGGATTTACTTCATAGTTAAGCTTTAGGGGTGACTATTGAGGGGGGAAACAAGTATTGCTATGGCGATAGTCTATTGCAACATACTATTGCGATAGTGATAGTTTATTTCGACCAACTACTGCAATACTATTGCAATAGTTTCTTTCTCCTGGAATTGTCTCATTTGAAGCCATTTCCCAAATTAATGTATAGTTTATATGAAATAAAATCAAGTTGAAGTAGTTTCAGTCTCTTTTAATAACTGTCAAGAAACTTGAAAACCAGATCAAGTAAACTGTTAAAACATAACAGGGGTGGATAACTCTAAATCAAAGTGAACGAATCTATCAACAGAAGTCAGTTAATAAACTATCAATAGTCACACATACTATCGGGGGCAGTGGGGTAGCCTAATGGTTAAAGCGTTCGCTCGTCACACAGAAGACCGGGTTCAATTCCCCACATGGGTACAATGTGTGAAGCCATTTCTGGTGTCCCCCGCTGTGATATTGCTTGAATATTGCTAAAAGTGGAGTAAAACCATACTCACTCACTCATTCACACATACTATCGATGCATCAATAGTGTTTGTTTCTACCATCGATTAATTGCTATCAGAGACTCGACAATTGCAATCCATCGATAGTTTGATGCATTGTTACAGCCCAGTTAATCATGTTTGCATCAAAATGTTTTCTTTGTACACAGTATCATCAGAATGGGATAGGTGGATCATTTAAATGATTATTACCATATTAATATAGTGTTTTTAATCTGTAGCAAGTCAACCTGGAGGTTAAATCAGTACTTAACTGTCGATAAAACTAACTGCATGTAACAGTTAACAGTTCTACAATGCCCATCAGGGACCATGGGTGGCCTGGTTGTCTAATGCTCTGTGATTTACATTGCAGAGTTGTGTCCCTTGGACATGCCAGAAACCAGTGTGTTCAAATCCTGGTTTGAACTAATTTTGTTGTCAAGACCTGTATTATATCAAGTTTTCCTTCTATATTAAGCTAATGCACAATGAAAATGAGATATTGTTCAATGCTTCTTTAAACAAGACTCACACACTATAATTCCTATCATGATTTGTGTGTAAGCATATTAGACAATGCTCAAATCCAAACATCTCCCCCATACCGACGAAACAAAATGCCTTTCCATGTTAATCCTGTAGTTACTACATCTCTAATGATACTATAAACGTGGTCCTGTGGTGGCGTGTGGTCCTGTGCTCAAAGCTCAGGTCACAAATCGGTGAAGTTAAGCAGCGTTGAGCTCGGAGAGCCCTTGGATGGGTCACCGTGTTTGGCAGCTTGACTCCTGAGAGTTTCTAGGACTTGAGTCCTGCCCCACAACGAAGCACATGTGACACATGTGGTCTCACCTTAGGCAAGTGAGTTTGTTCAAAATTGTCTCTGTTCACCCAGCAGGAAAATGGGTACCCGGTGGAAAAAGTCATATGACTATA